CTATATATTTTTAGTTGTCCAATTAATTTCTTTCTAATTTTAGTAGAGATGGGGTCTCGCTCTTGCTCAGGCTGGTCTTGAACTCCTGAGCTCAAACAATCCGCTCGCCTCGGCCTCCCACGAGGATATTTTTGAATACGCGAACTCTGATAATCTTATTTAGCTTTCCCCAATCATAACCTACTTTTTAAAAAATCAGGTTTTGCCTACATAATTCCCTCCGATTGTGGGTAGGATAGTATTCATGAGGCAAAGGTTATTTTGACAAAGATGAGGCCCAGGAGAACTAGTAGCTTCCTTGTGTTTCTATGGACCATTTCAGCAGGAGCCTCTTAGAAAGTCAAGAACATCTTGAGATTGGGGTCTGTAAAGATGAGACTAAAGAAAGAAATACACTTTTTTGTTCATACTCATAAGAAAGTGGGCTTACAGCCCTATAATCTTTTTTCACTTGACCAGCATGTTGAGTAGAAGAGAAGCAAAGCCAGAATTAACAGTGAGGCTCTTGTTTCTTCAGCCAGCCTCAGGGATGTAAAAACTGAGGACTAGAGTTATCTGGAATCAGTATGCAGAGCAGGGGCATTAAAGTCAGGGACACGACTCAACACTTTACAGGTACACAGAAAAATAAAAAAATTAAAAACAAATAAAGTCAGGGATACTGCTTCGGAGGAGCCTGGAGGTAGAGAGGGAGCACCTGTCATTTCCTACCCAGCCCCGCCCCACCCCCTGCCACTGCTGTCAGGTGGAGAGTGAGGGAGAGGCTCTGTGTTCCGGCTGTGTAACCACCAGAGGGGCACAGTGCCCCTTACAGGATCTTTAGGCCAAGGAAGAGGCAGCAAACTACTAGGCAGTTAGAGGGTGGGCAAGGGAGGGCTGCAAAATAAACCAGTTTGAATAAAGTGAGATTTTTACATATGATTTGATTTTGATCAAGAAGTTCTCAGATCAGGGGCCTTCAGCAACCAAGGTCACAGGAAATGATATCAAGAAAGATCCAACAAAAACTATGAGCAAAAAAAAAAAAATAATAATGATTTGTGTATGGAGGAGAAATAGTTTGAAGGTCACTTAATTAGTTTAGTAGATAGTACCATGGTGTATAGAATTGGGTAGTTAAGACTGGGATTTCAAGGTTAATGAGATTAGATTATGGTTAATAGAATGATATAAATTTAGAGAATTTAACCATTATTTGAAATGGGTTATTTAATAAAAATGTTAATTAAGAAGGGAATCTGCTGTCTATTGTCCTTTAATGGTAACCTTTGGGGACTAGAGAAAGGTCGTGGAGTTTTTCTGTGGAGATGCTTTTCATTTTGAGGCACTGATTGACCATGTGTCTCCCTCAGGTAACGCCTCTGACCTAAGCACTTGTCCACTCACCAGTTTCTTGGTTTTTACCTTAGAAAGAGTCACTTAAGTGGAATTCCTTTCCAGCATTGTTTAGTTGAATTACAGGCCTTTAAAGATTCTTGTTAATTAAGGCTTAAAATATTCCTAAAAATGAAAGACTTCACTAGAAAAATGTCCATGAGATCTAACTGTTTAGGGTTCACTTGCAGACATGGATAATGTGTAATAATTAATAAAATTCCCCAAATTTCTTATTCATCTTCCCCACCCCATCTTACCTTCCCAAAAGTTGGTCGGTGACAGCAAAACTACCAAAATGGTCGGCCAGTCAGGTGACATCTTACACCACAGCTCTAATGACTCTGAAAGAAAATGTACAAAGGTTAGGAAGAAAAAAAAAAAAGACCTGGAAATTTCTGTTACAGTTCTAGGTGTTTGAAGACATCATCTCTGTTTACATTTCATGTGTTTGTATGTGTGTGTTTGCTCAAAATGCATTTGAGAGACCCGTCTTCTACTGCTAAGTAACAGGACCCTCAAGCGGGGGGACAGCCACATCTGCAGGGCGACAAGCCCCACCCCGCTGTGGACAAAATAGGACAGGTATATCTCTTCTCATTAGTTGAGTGGCTTAAACACATGAGAGGAGAGATTTTTTTTTTAATCTTATTTATTTCCTTCCTTCTTTTTTGAATTTTGATTATAAAAGTAATGTATTCTTGCTGTTAATTATATAAAAGTATATAAAGTTGAAAAGTGAAAATTTCTTTCCTATGCCCCAACCCTACTCCTTAATAGTTTTATTCTTCTAGCCGTGCATAGTGGCTCCTGCCTGTAGTCCCAGCTACTCAGGAGGCTGAGGTGGGAGGATTGCTTGAGCCCATAAATTCGAGTCCAGCCTGGGCAACATAGGCAAGAGGTTCATCTCAAAAAGCAAAGAAAAATTAAATAAGTAAATAAATGATTTTATTCTTCTACAGTCTCCCTTATAAAGTTGCTATCACATATGTGATTATATGTCTATCAGGTTTCAATTAGCCTCATTTTTTAGCTTAACTTACAAGCTGGTCCAACAAGTTTACCATAGGCGAGGATTTTTTTTTTTTTTTTTT